GGATTGCCCTTGAAAAATGAGTACTATTTCCGTACTTTCCGAAAATTCCGGATTTGTAGACACCCTGATTAATTCATGGGTAAATAAAGAAAGAAATAAATCTTGAGAGAAACAGGAGTGGACTAAATAGTTTTTGAGTATCNGGGGGGGGGGGGGGGGGGGGGCACCGAGAAGATTGGAGGCCCCTCTTGAAGAAGGCGCTCTGCATGATTTTTCACAAATAAACCAATGAAGCCCCCAAAATTTTACCAGAATGAGCCTTCCTTTCAAAGCCCCTTTGGTAAAAGTAAGGGAAGCGATTGTTCCTACCCGTCCCAGAGGAGAAATTAAAGAATGACTGAGTAAATACGAGTTTTTCACAAGGAGCTAGACAATTCACAAGAGCTAATGTCAGTATTTTGGGGTTAGTTAAAAAATTTAAACAAATTGTTATTTACGACTTGTGCCCTTATTATATAACTATTTCCACGGGTGGGAAATTGAATAATTGAAATAGACACTATTTTCCCACGATTTTCTCGGTAATCAATGGGGGGCGGTGAGCGTGGCTGATAAAATGAGGGACAGTCTTCAATAATACTTTGGTCAGACTCAGGATTTCTCATTGTCCCATTGTTAAAGTCAATTGAAAGCGAAAACTGAAAAACAGGGGCGCAAATTGTTCTAAGCCTCCGCAATTTTTTTGCAACGCACTGGGTTTCTGCAACCCAGGTCAACACAACGTGCTGATCAGAATTTTGTTGACTTTATGGATAATTTTAGGATGTACGCGAAAGTCGCATTATTCCACATGAGTTCAAAATCAGAAAACCGTCCAAAAAAAGAAAGGAAAAAAAAACTCAGGTTTCACAATTTGGGGCACTTCGACAATTTCGTCGTAACTGTGCGACCTCGAGAACGAAATTCGTTCTCGAATTTGCAACCCTGCTGAAAACGAAAAACAGACAAGTGTGATGAATAATTTAGATTTTTCGGCAGGTCACCAAGCAGGCAGGCACCATATCGATGGTGAAACTGCAGGAATGCGTACATCGGTTTGCGGCGTTGTAGACTTCCTGTCATACTTTATTTTTCATATGGGAAACCACTTAACATCATTTATTGAGCACTTCGGATATTTTTCTTCTCTATGGGAAGAATATTCTGTGAAAATTTCAAGCCACAATGTTGCTTCGGTTTCCTTTTAAAAAATAAAATAGGAGCGGAGATTTTCAAACACCGCAACCGATATACGCACTTTTGCAGTTTCACCATCGATATATGCATCTTAAAACAAGACGACAAAAGAAATAAAAAATTCATTAGGAACCCCCTTTTTTTTTGACCCACGCACTGTGTGCTTTCAGTGACTTTATGCCTGAGAATAAATCGAGAAAACAAGAGAGGGGTGGAGACTTGGTTGAAATACACGATACAGTAACAAGGAAGTATTTCAATAAAAGTGCCCTCCTGAACGAGCATTTATTACACACACATAACGCATTTTATTTACACACGCGCGCGAAGGTACACGCAGACCACCTACGTTGCAATGACTCTTGCAATTCTCCCATTTACCGTTGTGAAATTTTGACTAGTCACATCGAAGTTTCAAGAATTTTACATTAATAGAGTTGTTCGCAAAAGTTCGAAAGTTCTCTTCGAACGAGGCCATAGCGGCGGTACTGACGGTGACCATCCACATCAAAGGAAGGAGATGGAAAAGAGTAAGTAATGAATTCACCAACAGACGATCAAAGAATAGCCCTCAAAAAGGCTCATCGATGACATTGTTGACTATCAGCCTCTCAAAGATCGTCGGGCCGACAATCGCATTTGGCGCATGGCGCCCGGGGAAGGCAGAACACTGGTTGCGGGCTGAGTATCCGCTGCGACCAGTGTTGATTCATAAAACATTTTTATGCGAATTTCCGTGGACTTGAAAAAAAAACACGCAATTTATCCAGCGGTTTTGTAAAAACAAGAGAAATTATTTGCGATTTCCATCTTCGTGTTGCAGGAAAAACGCGATTTTTCCAGCACTTTTCTAAAATTATAATTAATTACGCATTTTTCCACGAAAATCACGGTATTCATGAACAGCAGTAAATTGAGACAGACGAAAAGGTAAGATTCTCCTTCACGATCGTGTGATACCACATACCTACTCCGGAGTTCGAATAGTTGCACACTTTATTTCCACATTTCCTGGTTTGACCAAAATAGGTAGGTACCTAGATTCAAAACCGTCGGTAATTTGAAACAGGCAAAAAGTGAATAGTAAGATTTCCCTTCATTTTCGTGTGACACCACATGACTACTCCGCATTCTGATAGTCAAGTACATGCTTGGTGTCTGCTTTGACCAGTGTTGATTCATGAAACGTTTACATGGAAATTTCCATAAATATTCAAAAAGTTTCCAATAGATCCAGCAGATTTGTGAAACTACAAAAAGTCACGCGTATTTCATAGGCGGATCCGGACACTTCTGACCAGGGGGAGGAGGGAGGCAGACAGTCTTGGGGGCTTCCCAGGAAAGTATCAAAATTTTAAGTGTCTAATATGCCGTTTGAATCAATTTAATCACGAATAATTGCCAAATATAAGCACCCTTTCTTCTTCTTTCCTCTTTTCTTCCACTTCCTCCATTCTCTTTTTCAGGCTAAGAAGGTGACATGCACCCCCTACGCAGCCTATTGGATATATCTTCGGTGTATCTCACCTCAATACCCGGATTTTTCCAGGGGTAAAAATAAAAGAAATTACGCGTGTATAAGCTCAGTAGCATAGCAAGTGCCTATACTCAAGGGTTCGAAAAGTTCCCCACTTGATTTTCACATTTAACGATGCTTGCATTATACCTACATTAATAAACAGCGGTATTTGGAGACAGGAGAAAAGCTAAGATTTTTCTTCTGATTTGCAGGATACCACATTCGTGATCTGGAGCTCGAATAGTTGTGCATTTCGAATATTCCATGTGCTATTCATTAAGAGTAAAGCACAACTTGTGATCAGCAGCTGTGAGCTCTTTCAATCCATCTTCTCACTTTACATGTACCTGTTACTCATTATGAAAAAAGAGAGTTATACATATCTCATGGCCCTATGGCTTTTAACTGAGAAGCATTAACCACGATTACCTGCTTGCATTATAGACGTAAGAGAGCAGTTCCTAACTCAATAGTTCGTGACCAGCGAAGGGGAAAACAGAGTTCAAAATACATGATCATACACCTAACATGTATAAAATAAATTATTTAAGTGATGTAACTGTAAATAACAGGTGGTACCAGCTGTGAGAGGGCCCTAAATGTACACAGATAAAATTGATGGCATGCTTACATACCTTCCTGAATGAAGCAACTGGTAAGCAGAGATAAGTTTCCTGAATTTTCATGCAGTTCACAGTCCGATATGAGCAGTGTTTTGACTTACTAGAGGTAGAAGTGTAACGAGGAAAGATGCAGGCGAAGAAACTATAAAAATATAGAATGTGAAAACTTTCTGAGATCCGAGTTCTGAACTAACCTAAAAGTACGGACGAAGAACACCACTCAAAATTCTTGACACCACACAAAACTGAACGGCTCTAAGCAAGTTCTCTGAAAAGACAGTTTCAAAATCGAAATGTGAAATCTCAATCCCCCGTAAACTTGTCCGATTTTAATAAGTACTTGGTAGAAAAATCCAAAAAGTCAAGAGTCCACGCGCCGAGAAAACAAAACTTGTCAAGCAAGCAATCACACTTGTTGATTCTTGATTGTGATTGGTGGATTCTAGAGGACTGCTAGTACCAACTGCACAATTCGATTTGACACTGAATCAAGTTGAGCAATCAGGTTAGCCAACACTGGCGTTTTCCGACTGAAAATACTGATATTGCCAGCTTCTCTGCTTTCAAATATACGCATTTAGATACTATGTAAACCTCTTCATTGATTTAACGTACTGAGATATTAAAAAATATGAGGCAGTGAGCGCTCTTCATACCAGCACGAGTAACTCCAAATTTCATGACCGGGTATACGTTTTTAAAGAGATTGGGGGAGGGGGGGAGCTGGGGGGCAAAAGGTGGACCCCCGAGCCCGACCTGCCCTTCTTTTCAAAACTAAAAATTATCGGAATGAAGAGGAATACATGGGACAGCATCAATACATCCGGCTACAGATTTTTTATGCATAATTTTGGCCTGTGACATAAGTATGTATGTTTCCAATAATTACAGAAATCCTGAATTTGAACATTGAAAAGATATATACATCTTACCCTTCTCAAAAATCATTTGATTATATCTATTAATTTTCTTGGTTCTTAAAAGAAAATTATTCATCACACATGCTTGGGTGAATATAAGATACTCTTGATCCATACATCCATAAAATGCAAAGATATAAACCCTTAATTTACGATAGTCATTTTGTTAACAAGAGGCGGAATAAAAGTTTTCAGTAAGTAAGTTGTAGTTCAATTTAACACTGAAGGATGTAAAAATTTGATTGTGCCAATCAGTGCGTGAAACATTAAAGTGTTTCTAAAACAACGAGAGTCTAGAAAGTTTGTCTTAAATTTGTTTGAATGTCTATGAAAAAGCATTATAAATTCAATTGTGAATCTCGTTGATTTATTTAAGGAGAAGTTAATTTTAGAACGCACACATCAACCATAAACTGATGATCGAACTGCAAAGAAAGTGGAGATTGAAGAATTGATTGAAACGGTAGGCGATCGAGTGATAGGTTGATCAAGGCTACTTTATAAATGATTAGGTGATTGAAATACTTTAAGGAAACTTCAAGTTTCCGACAAAAAATAAAGTAAAGAATAAAATCATATTTCTCTGCCTAATTGTGATCCAATTTTCCTTTTCTCCAGAATGATACCCTGCAGTAATTGATTTTAATGATGTAGGTAGTTAGTATTTGATGAGGGTAAATAGACTACCTGAGTCATACAAAAAAAAAGAAAGATAATGGTTTAAATACTCAATTTATAGGTAATTTAAAAATGTAAACTGAATTAAGAATCAAGTTTAAGTAACTTTATTTCATGACTACTGACTAAATTTAAGACACAGTTTGGATTCTTAAAAGTAAACGATTAAGAATTAAAAGATTAAAAGTGTGTAAAAGATTCCTAAAAGAAATTATGATGTTTAAATATCATAACAGTTGATTTTACAGGGTAACTTGATCAGATAACATAAAAACCCCTGAGAACAGACGGGATACAACTACGTTTTGACTTCTGTTTTACACAACGGAGTATAGAATACTCAATTTCTATTACCTAGTAATGGTGGACTGACTTTCATCACAAATGCAGTTATTGAAAAAGTAATTAAAAAATACTGCTCATGATAATTTGGAGGAAAAAAAATATACATATATTCTTCCAAGAAAACTAATGTTCTATAGTGTTAAGTGGCGTATGAAAGGAACTGATATCTATTATCGCTTTCGCTTTTTTTTTGCAGACTCTATTTCACTAGGTGTGAAAGAAGCCCTCGTCACTCTTTTTTGTGGAGTTTTTTCAGGTTCTTTAGAAGTCTTGACTGGAGTTCTGCTGGCTGGCCTCTTCAGATTTGCATCTGATTTATTTAGGTCTACAGAGTCACTTCCAGATTTCTTTTTGGCTACATCATTAACAACTTCTTTTTTATTGCCAGGCTTTTTGGCAGAGTTGAGATCGTTTCGTTTGGTGCTGTCATTGGAGTCATCTTTGTTTGGCTCTTCCACTTTAATCGATCTCCGTGTCCTTCCTCCTGATGAGCCTTTGTCCTCATCTTTTTCTTTAGATTCCTCAGCTCCTGAGGAATCATTTTTGTCACTCTTACTCACCCTTCGGAAAGGAGCCTTCTTGTCTGACTTATTCTTATTTTTATTTCCTCCGTCTTCTTCCTTTGTATTGTCTTTGGTATCTTCCTCCCTGACATATTCTTTTTTTATTTCATCTGGTTTCCGCAGGTTTTCAACTCGTTCTAATCTTGATCCATTCTTTTTGACTTGTTCTTTCAGTTCACCGAATTCATCATCTGGCAGTTCGAATTCTTCTTCCTCACATGGAAATGGGAAAGGTTCCATTTCATCCTAAACAATAAAATTAAAATTTTTGTTTCAGATGGTAAATAAAGAAACGGAAAAATAGAAAATATCACTGTTATGTAGTTCACAATGTGGTTAGCGATTTGGAGAGATACACAAGAAATAAAGAGCTCTCTTAGAATACACATTTTGCAAAACAAAGCAAAAGATATGCAGATCGAAATAATTTCTCTGTATTCACTTTGATTTTGCAGTATTATGACCTTGAATTTCTATCACGCAGCAAATAAGGTCCTCTCTTAAATTTTTAATTGTCTTAGTTGATTTTTGGCTATTCAAATGGAACTCTCCATTGAGAAATTAACATGTTTTTTTTTTATTTCTTGAACATTTTCTTTCAGCCTTCTGTTATCCTAAAAATACACTAGACTGCACTTCATTATTATCACTGGAACAATACAGCAAATGCACCTATTGTATGCATTTGTACTAATAACGGGGTCATCATGCACTTGGCACTGCTACGTTATAACTTATAATGCAGTTCTGAACTAAATTTCGTGATGCATATATTTTTTCACAATGCTCAGTGGACACCTGAGAGGCCATCTATGGTTCATGTCAGTGGCTCTAACAGGTGCTATCTCAGTTGTTTCCATCTCCACTGATAGGTTGGTGATGCTGAAAATCATGCATGCAACACGTAATGCACACTTTAATAATGACAAATTGAATGGTGCAAACTGACTACTGATCAAAGGCTATGTCCTTCTCCTACCATATAGACGCTATTAGTGGCGACGTCATCATAGGGATTCTCCATTATATCGAATTGGATCCAAACAATAACATTGGCATAACCTCTTTCAATGCTACCAATGCGAAAAAATCGATAAATATCGCTTTCCTGTGACGTTGCACTAATAGCGTCTATAGCCTCAGAGAGGCAGGCTTGGCACATTCATCTACAACCACGATGGCGGATTTTCAAGAGTCCTTTCCTTAAGTAAATACTTATCATCAGCAGGGATTGAACTCTTGAATAGAATGTTAGCACACTGCCTTGATAATTGCAACATTGAAACTATCTCATTTGACACAAATTGATTGCGGTGGATGCACGGGTCGAAAGACAGTAAATTGGAAATTTATACCCGACGTGCGTTAAAAATCAGCATTAAGCTAAATATCTCAATACAGAGGAAAAAAGCTCGCTCACTAGCACAATTTTCCCTCAAAGAGATATGCTGTTAGGTGCGACACTAGTACCGCTTGCCCAAGTCTCAGGCTGGTTTTCACGGCCTCTCCGAGCTTGGTAGCAGAAAATTCAGAAGGCTGCGCTGTAATGAGGATTGGCCTAATAAGGCCGAAGTGCGTCTGCAGTTGCCTTCCTGAATGACTGTTACTAGTGTTGAACCAAATAGCATATCTCTTTGAGGGAAAATTGTGTGAGCTCAGTATTGAAATATTCAGCTTCATGCTGATTTTTAAAGCACGTTGGTTAAAACATTCCAATTTACTATCTCATTTGAATTCGGATCATCTGCTATGGATGAGTTTTAGCTGTAAGTCACACAATAGATGTAGAACTTACCAATTTTTCCATATCGTACCATGTATTCAAATGCTTCCAAATGGTTTCTGGCTCAACTGTTCTATTGATAGCTGCAGAGAATTTTTCTTGTATGCGAGCCATATGAAAGTGCTGATTGATACCTTCGAAGAGAGAAAATAAAAATCGTGAACAGAGATTGCTATAATTACTAAGAATGAAAATACAATAAAATAGTGCAAGACTACATTAATAACAGGATGTTATTGACTAATGGTAGTGAATGTTGTTGGCATTAAACATACGAACAAAAAAAAACATGGAGCAGGATAAAAATTCAGTAACTTCGATCGCGCAGCAAAGTCACAATCTAATGGGACTCTACACTTTTTTGAATTTTTCATGGCTTTTAGTTGCTTCAATTAAAGACATAGAAAAGAACTGTTTTGGTAATGTACATGTAAGGGGACCACAGAAGAATGTTGAAATTTGTATTGATGATGTCAGGTGAACTAAAACCTGATTTGAATGCATATTGTAAAGAATACCCTTTTCTAAACTGTTATTTTCCATTTACCTGGAATGCAATAATGGTTCTTGGCAGGGGTTCATATGAACGCACGATTTTAACACCCAAATTAAACCAAAATAGAAGAAGTATTCCTAGGGGCTAGGGTTTCATTTAGACTGCCCTTTTATGGTGCGTTGTGAATCTGTATTCTATAATTTACATCATGAGATGTGCTTTAGAAATTCTGATATATAATTACCCAATGGGAAAGTCTATAAGGAAACCTGAGAGAAAACTAACTTACCGACAGGTTTCAACCCAATCATGGCAAACATCAACTGAACCTCATACGCAGGAGTCCATGTGAACTCGGAGCCCTCCGAGTCAGACATGATGAAAAGTTCGGATAAACCAACGAGAGTCTGTTCAATATGAAACTATGCAATTTATAATTCTACATACTGAGAGGAAATCAATGGTGTGTATGGTGTGCAATGTAACTGCTATAGTTTCTAAGAAACGGATACAGGAAAATATCAAGAGATTGTGGGAAAACCGAGCCGAAAACTTTTGGTACATAACCTCCAAAAGTTTGTTTACATACAAACCGGCTGAACAATGTTACACGATTGAATAAAATGCTCATTTATTTTCTAAAAATGCAAATATTCACACCAGATGAAGATTTACGGTTTAATATTGAGGAGATTATTCAAACAAATTAAAAAAATTATTAAAATGCTAAGTGCTTTTCATTTGATAAATAAGTGTTGAAATTTTCTGTCGAATTAATTAAATCGTGGTAGAGCGGCAACCTCGCACTCACATTTCCCGGCGGCACACGGAAGTTTGTTATGTTTTCTCGTAGTGAAGTTTTGTCCTGTTTTGTCGAATTTTCATAAGTATTTACTCACTACATACTATCATTTACCTTTTTTATACACCCTGATGTCATCAATAATAATTTCATTATCGAATTTTGTCGGAGTGTCAATCTAGTAGCCCATTAAGTGTTCTCTCATCTTATCTACACTCTTCATCTTGGACGAGAGCATTTAGACTTATCCTTTTTTTTCTGTATCGCCTTTTGGTAAGCATCTCTACACTTATATACTTTATTAGAGGTAATAACCTTCGATTTTTGGCACCGACATAAAATTTTAACTAAATAGTTTTAACAACGGTTGGTACCTAATGCTCAATTTGTCGCCCAGCGTAGTGAGACCACATGGCCTGGAGGAGTGCATAAGAATGCTACCGTCAGGGTGCAAGTGAAACCTTAATTATCTTAAGGTGTTTTCCCAAAATTCGATAAAACATGGGTCGCTTGCTTCCCTCTAAGAGCTACATCCATCTCTAAGAATTCGTCAAGGTATAGAACTTGAAAGCTCCAACCTATATCGCCGGTGTAAGTCGGCAATCACATAACTCGGTTTGCGATGTCGTAGGCTTCCTGTCACACTTTATTTTTTAAATGGAAAACTACTCATGGGCAATTTTTTAAAACTACCATGATTTTTCTTCTCTGTGCAAAGAAAATTCTGCAAATACTTCAAGGAATGATGTCAATTTATTCTCCTTTCAAAAATAACATAGAGGCAGAGATTTTCAGACACTGCAAACGAGATCTGTGACTACGGACTTACGCCGTCGATATATTGATAGATAAGGTAAGACTTATTGTCAAAAAGCAGATAGCAGGCTATGTTTCAAAGGCTATTTGGAATGGATTGGATAAGCTGAATAAAATATTTTAAACAGATCAGACAAGGCACTGTCAGAGCTAGTTCAGTCCACATAGCTGATTAAAACTTGCAGAATTAACTTGCAAAGGTTACTTCTCAGGGGAACTTTGGTCAATCATACCTCACAGGAAGGCACCCATATTATCTTTTACATCTTGAATAGACTCAAGAACCGCGACAGCGTGTGGTGTAAGCTTAATAATATATCCATCAAGTGGCAGTTACCACCTGTTGTAAATTTTTGATGAAAAGCCAAACGATTATTTTATCATGATTGCTGTTGTTCACAGCGGTCGAAAGTATTGCCTACTGATCGCTTACCTCTGAAATCATGTATCATAATTATTCTAGCGTCTCAAAATTCTAAGATTTTTTGTTTCTTCTTTTCATAGTTGTGAAGAATGTCCTCTAGTCATGATGATACCTCAGATAAAGAAAACAAGGAGAAGAAAAATGAAGATCCTGGGGAAAGAACTCGAAAAAGGACAGACTCTCGCTCTAGTAGATCAAGTGGAAGCAGCGGAAGAAGGTAAATATACTTTCATGTTTAGTGGTGGTATTTAATTTGCTCAAAAAAATTAAAACTTTTGTCTGTGAAAAAATACATATCTTGAAATACTTTCTAAAAAAAGATTGAATAATAACACTTGATATTTTACTTTGAATTAAGGGGCTTAGAGAACAAAGCGCATAAGTGCAGTTTTTTGAAAAAATTGAGATATTAATAATTTCAAGTAAAACTAGTCTTAATGCATATTCCATGAAAAATTTGCCCCCGAATTCCAATTTTTAGCCTCGAAGAGTTAGTTTGAACTTTCTTACCATCATAAGGATCCTTGCAATTCCGAAACTTCAAACAAGTATTTTTCAAAATAGCAAAACCCGCACTTATGCGCCTTGTCCTCCAAGCTCCTCGATCAGAGTATGTCTGGTTCTGCGAACATGAGCAGTCCTGAAAATTTTGATGCCCTAAAAATTCTGAGAATTATTTCTCATCTGGACGAAGTATCATTGAGCTACTTTTTCTGAAGAGTTGGTCCTTCAGCATATTTTGAAAGCTAACTAAGTCCTTGGTCTTCAAAACTTTGGTTTCATGTAGCCCTGTTCACCATATCAAACTTTTCATTCAACTCTTGAATGCTACTTGTCGGATGAAAAGTTGGATAGCGTGATACTAGATTAGATTTAGATTTATTTATTAATCAGAAAACTACTTTATACTGACGCGAGAAAACGACGGTTGGATGAAAAAATAAATTGAACGGAAAATGTGAAAATTTTCGAAGTTGAATGTAGAACAATTTAATCAAATTTGTTTACGTTCAACTTTCCATCCAAATTTTCGTTCAATTATGTCAGATGGAAAGTTCGGTACTTAGTGTGAATTGGGCTCCAGTCACCTTTACTTGCAAGTTCTTTTCTAACTCAATCAAATTTTTTTTAGCTCATCTAGTGGCTCTGATTCTTCAAGTGGCTCCTCCTCATCAGGTTCAAGCTCAAGATCTGACTCTCGATCTAGCAGATCTTCTTCGAGTTCCTCCAGTGTTGCAGCAGATGCCTCTTCATCTACTAAGAAACAAGAAACCAGGTCAGAATGAACACACGCAATTTTCGCTCTGGAAATAACTGTATTAATGCAGGTTTCTGGATTCCAACTGAAGATTCTTGAAAAATTACCCAAGTACTTACTACCCCAGGAACCTTGAAGAGGCCAAGAAAATTAGTTGGAGATTTAGGCCATGAAGCAGCGAGCTAATTTGGGGTGCGAAACACAAATAGAACATTTAACAATCTAAATTTGACAATCATGGTAACTGAATAATCCAGTATTATATTGAAGTATTTCATCCTCCATTCTTTAATGAATGAATCATAAATCAATGAAGTCTTATGGCTCCCTCAAGCAAGAAGCTCTTTTTTCTTTTCTTTTTCGCTGAGGAGTTGAGTTACTTATTTCCAAAACTTAATCACATTGATGGCCAAAGTGCAAAAGCAAGTATCTCCATTGCAGTGTTTCAAAATTTCCCCTCCTATTTAATCATTTCTAAGAGAACCTAGAGAACTTTATACCTAGCGAAGCAGACAAAGGATCAGCCCAAAATAAGTGAACAGTGAATGATGCGAAACAAGGAAAAATGCGGATACAAGGCTGAAAAATTAACAAAAATAAAGCCAGGACGTGTTAATACCTCGCAGTGTCATTTTCAACTGCTGATAAGAAGAGAAATTATACTAAAATAAACAAAATGTTTTAAGGCAATTACATGGTGATATATAATGATTAAATTCAATTTAGAATTCAATCATTTTATATCATTATGTAATTGTCTCTTAACATTTTTTGTTATTTTAGTTTAATTTAGCAGTTGAAAATGACACTGCGAGGCGTCAAAACATCCTGCCTTTATTTTTGTTAATTTTTTAGCCTTGTCTCCGCACTTTTTTTTGTTTCTCATCGATCACTGTTTATACCTAGCTTGAACTTAATGCTCTGCTAATAGTGAAGAAAGTTTAAGGAAATTTTAAAAAATTACATTGACTGGTTTTCCAAAAAAAAATAAAGTATGGTAGAAAGTCTGCAACATCTCAAACAGAGGAACATGGTTTTGCTTTAGGCCGCTAGTATTTATCTTAATTGTTGTAGGAAGTTAAATTTGTCTTTGTTTTTTTCAGAAAGAGAAGTGTCAGCAGAAGTCCAAGAAGAAGTGCAAGTATTCGACAAAGTAGGAGCCCCGGAAAAAGGAATGTAAACCCCAACAGGAGGAGTCCTAGTAGAAGTCCTGACAGGAGGTACCGCAAAGACAATTTAAAGAAAGGAAGGTCAGGAAGGAATGATGCTGAGTCTGACAGGCCTCGATCTGTCTCACCGAAGAGACGGCGAAAGAGAACACCCTCACCGAAACCACCCAGAGTTTATGTCAGCAAACTCACACGGAATGTGCATAAAGAGCATGTCAATGAAATTTTTTCCAATTACGGTCAGATCAAAATTCTTGAGATGCCCATGTTTCGGCAGTACAATGGATTTTGCAACAAGGGTTTTGCTTACGTTGAATTTGAAACTCTAGAATCAGCTAACAAAGCACTGCGGATGGATGGAGGTAAGTGAATAGTCAAATCATCACCCCCTAAAAATATTTCCAACTAAAATTTCTCTTGTCTGCATGAAATTAAGATTGATCCTACCATCAGTTAGATCTCCAGAGAGTCTTTTAAGAGAATGTAATCTGCAAGTTACCTAGGGTTTCATTATCATTCAGTACCTACATTCAGTAACCACATTTTATTACTTCTGGAGCCAGGAAAAGCACAAGTCAGGGAATCATAAAATGAAGGAATCCTGAAAATACTGCCCTAATCTTAAATGTTAATTTTAGGACCGAGAAGGTCGGACTGAACTAGTCAGGAAAAAGAGATTGGTTTAATTCTTCCATAATTTGTTGGCAACTCTACAAGCCCCTCTTGACTCCAGTCAATCAGGTGAGCTTAGGGTCCTTTCTTTGGGTATTTACTGCTATGTTTTTACAAGAAGCTGACGTTTACCGAGATAAAAAATTTGCTTAAAAAAGATTTAACCTCTCACGTCTAAAGTTTGTTCTGTTATGTTTTCATCAGAATCTGAGTTTTACTGAGATAAAAATTCCATCATTATTCTTTAAAAAAAGATTTAACCTCTATTGTTTAAAATTTGTACTTATTTTATTTTTCAGGTCAGATTGACGGACAAGAAGTAGCTGTTGAACTAGCCGATTTCACTCATCAGGCCACAGACATACGGCGACTCCGAACTCCTCCTCCTCAGAGAAATGACTTCTTTCCACGAGGTGGTAGAGGTTGGAGACGCGGCCCCCGATTTTTCCCAAGAGGTAGGATGCGTTCACCACCAAGGAGGTGGTCGCCGATACGACAGCCAAGACGCAGGTCAAGATCTCCAATACGTCATCGTCAGTATAGCAGATCTAGTTCAGATGATTCTCGCTAGAGAAAGTTCTGAGTATGTTTTTTATTTTAATGATAACTGTGAGCCTGAGCAAAAAGATAACATGTTTTGAAATCGATTGTATACTTATTAATAAGTACTAATACTTATAAGTACTTTACTTATTATATACTAATATGTAAATGATATTATTAATCTTGTTTCTTTCACTTGAATTGGATCTATCTAAAATTAACAAGAGGCCAAAATGCTACTTTGAATTTTCAGGAAGTTTACAAATTTAGTTATTTCAGTTCACCTCCTTTTCTTTGTTCATACTTATTGTAAAATGCAGAAATAAACAGAATGAATGTACGCCAAGTCTTCATTTGCTCCTTTTTTTTATTTTTTTTTAATTAAAAATAAAATAATTTTTTTTCATTTTAAAAAGATTATTCACTCTGTTAGGATTTTACTTTGAAACTTAGGTGTTTTAAAAAACTTGCTTGCGTTGAAATTTATTTTCAAATTGAATATATTTCACAGTATGTTTTGTTCTCACTTTATCAGCCACCAATTACTTGAAAATAGGTTGGTGAGAGATAGAGGGAAACATAGTTGCTATTTGCTTTTTAAACGAGAACAAAACATCTCCCATCATGCTTTGATTTAAAGATGAAGATAGTTCAGGTCAACTTCAAAAATTAAATTTAATGTGAACGATTTTTTTATAGTAAAGGAACAATATTTTCCTGTTTTGAAGTTTTGAGGGAAAATTCTTTATCATTAAATCAGCCGCACATTTTGATTCCTAGATAAAAACGCACATGTGTAGCTGCTTATAACCCTGTATGAATGGATGAAGCACTCCGTTGTCTGTTTCACATTGCGAAAAGAACTACAATCATTAACAAAGGATTAGTAATCATTAATAGATTGGAATGCCAAACTTTTGGCCGGTTATGCAATCAACTAGGGAAAATGATGATAAAACATTAAGCTAAAAGCTAATTATAAATATATAAAGTACAATTATACTGTGTATATTTAATTGGGTTTTAGCTTGATGCTTTAACATCCTTTTTTCCAGTTACAATAATTAGTTTGGCGCTTCGTGAACTTACTCTCAACTCAGAAGGGCAGTAATGTTTCTTTGGCAAAAGTATCTACTCCAGTGCTCCAGTCCTTGATTATTGTTCATAATTAATGGAATTTCAGGAGAGAACTGTCTTTGTTGACACACGGGACCACAGCACACACAGCACAAGATACACAGCTGATGCAAGAATGATTTTGACAATTGTAGATTTCCATTCAGCTAATAGTAATTATACAGAGCAGAGTATTTCTGTGAGTGGAAGTGAGCAAACAGTGATGAGAGCTTCATCAATCAACGACTAAAGGCAGTACATGATAAATTATTAAAACAGGTCCATTTAATGATAAGATGTGTTAATTTGAAGTTTTCAGTTATTTATTTTCTTGTTTGTTCTTAAAAATTTATACAGAAACACTGTATAAATACGTTTACACACTAGATAACAAAAAAACTTATTTTAGTATTAATTACATACATGAACAAAATACAAATCAGTAGACAATGTCTAAAGGAAAATTATGCACTATAACAAAATAGGAAATCGCACTATATGAATTACAGAGCGTAAGGTAGGTATTTTTTTCTGAATTCGCAGCTTGAAAAACTACGCCCCCCCCCCCCCCCCACACGTGAAATATTTGTAATCCTTACAATAGAAAGATTATATGAATACATATGATTCTGTATTCAGTGCAAACTCGGACATTTTTTTAATACATTAGTCAAAAAGAAGTAATACTTGAACACTTTTCTGTGCTAAAATTAGGCAGAACGTTTTCCTGAAAGAACCTACATAGGCTGACAGGAAATTATTCCCAAAAACACCCACTTACATCTCTTGAAAGAACCTCTCTGTAAGAGGTCTACATTTATAGGCTGTAGCTTTTAGTTAATTTTCAGAAAACTGAAGATCATGCAATGTATAACTACAGTGAGACCTCAGGATTTGAATTCAAACTAGGAAACATTGGGAGTAATTTTTGACTAGAGGTTTGAGGCTGGTCAACAAATAAAGAATAAGTGTCACTATAATTATCAAAAATATCACCGGTTGGATTATTACTTTGAGCACAGTCATCTGAGGGAAGCAAACAATAATTTTGATGATTGATAACTCCTGAATCAAGATTAATGAAACACTTTTCAGCCATCATAGGTTGAGGATCGTAGGAAGATAGAGGTGGATTTTGCAGGATGGGATCCGAGGTAAATGTTTCATCAAAATCATCAACTGCTTCGTGTTTCTTCAGATGTGTATTTAAATTGAACTTTTGTGAGAAACTTCGGTTGCAGACATTGCATTGATACGGTCGCTCCCCGGAGTGACACCTATAATGTCGTTTTAGCTTGTGCAAGGTGGCAAATTGTTTTTTACATTGGTCACACTCATGGCTCTTTTTTTCCGGCAAAGCTGATGAATGCATGTTTAAAATATGTGACTGAAGTGAAATTTTAAATCTGAAAGATTGTTGGCACCAGTCACAGGTGAATGGATTTTGTTTATTATGCGAAAGAAGGTGTGTTTTTAAACTTGACCGTTGGTTAAATCCACAACCGCAGGTTTCACATAGATAAGGTCTCAATCCGTCATGAATTAATCGGTGCCGCTCAAGGTGACCTTTATGGTAAAACACTTTCGAACAGCTATCACAAGTGTATACCTTTTTCGACTCTTTCTTGTTTACTTTCGGCTCGCTATGATCATTGTAAACATTGACTGTGCTAGTTTGTAAGTTTGCGAATAAGCACTGCGGACACAGAATAGAATCATTATTTGATTGTAGAAAAAAGCCAATCTCATCTCGATGACCACATTCACGGCAGCTGCAAATAACATTACCTAGACCATGAGTTACAAGGTGTAAAGTGGCAAGTTCTCTGACTTCAAGGTATGTTTGACAATCTTCACAGAGAATTTTCAAATCGCTGCCGACACTGATCACGACTTGCTGGGATCTGGTACTGACACCTGTTGTGTGACACTTAGCTGTATTCGTCTGAAAGTAAAAGCCAAGCAAAAACGTCAAAACTTTCATTACACAGATTATAATATCTGACAAGACGGCGTAAAAAAGATGGTTACAATGGAAAACATCCCTCTAGGAATAAAAGTTGAAAAGTTCAACCGGGCAAAAACTCTGATTTGTAAATCAAAACAGCTTTTTGATCTGTTTATTGTTAAAAAATCAAGAGGAATATTAAACTTATCTGATTTAATCTTGATTTAAGTTATCAAGGAAACCTGACATCTTGAGACTCTTTTTAACTGGAGTCCTTCAAAACTATTGTGGACTTGCTGGATGTTTCAGAAAAACGGTAGTGAAAAATTTAAACTACTTTCCACTACACACAGAGGGAATATAGACACTTTTGATGTTCATTATGATATTACAAATATCATATTACCAAAATAAATGAAGAATTCATGACTTCATCAAACAAACTAAAAAAGGTTTTGGTTTGGATCTATAATCATTTTGAGAGAACTCGAGGTAATTATTCTGGAGGGACGACCATTATTCCCTGTTCAAGTGCTTTAGAGAAGATTTTGGAGCAGTAAGAGTATGCGTTTTAAGCCGTGTTCATATCAAATGATTATACTAGATTTGATGAGATTAGACACAAATTCGATCTGACAGAGACACGTCAAATTGTAGGCCAATTGAACCTAGTCTGGAGGGGGTGTATATGCTGCGCATCAACTTATGTGTTTTAAGAGGCTGTTTGTTTATTCTCAGATGCCATTACCAGCTTTAAATCAGGGATAACACCTTATATACACCCAGTTACATTCCCTCAGTAATGCTGGTACAGCACTTATTAAAAAGTGAGGCGAGTCTAATCTCACCTGAGTTTAGAATACCGAGTCACAGCATGTGATTAGATGTCTGTATCTAGTTGCACAAATCAAGCCTGTTCAGTATGATTGTGGCCTGAGATGAAAAGTCTATCTCCCTTGATATTTTGGCAGTAGACAACTATTTTTATGTTAATGCACCAGACTACAAAAAAGGAAACCTATAATGTATTTTTCTGTATGAGAGAATTTCCTATGTTGCATGATAACATAAGTTTACTTACAAAACGAGACTTCTTCTGTAACATTTGGTCCAAGAGAATATTTTGGGCTTTCTTCACATTCTGCGCAAATTCTGAGAAGTGATATATTGTCATTTTGCAATCAGAACAGATTAGTTTAGGCAATGCATCACCAACATCAAGGCTAATGACCTGATAAGACAAAATGAACAAATGTAAGTAACAGAATCTTGCTTACGAGCGAACGGTCTGTGTGGGTGCCCCTCTGAATACTTAATAGAGACTCTTTTCACCTAATGCTCTGCCGAAGGCCGGGTATTAATGACCAAAGATAAGAAAGACACTAGGTACAGGACACAGAGGTTGATGGCTGAGCACAGGAAATGGGCCCTTTAAGAAGATGTGAGAAGCTTAGTAAAATTAATCATTGACTGTACTGAATTTTTTTTTTTTTTTTTTTTTTTTTTTTTTTTTTTTTTTTAACTAGCCCTCAAGGGCTAATCCCATCTGCTCATGAACCAGTTTGAGCCAATCCCTAACCTATTTTTATATTTAACCTTTCCCTTACCAGTCCCTATAGACCAAACTCCTTCCACCTGTAACATCTCGGTAGAAGCTCGGTGAATCAGCAGTGCTTAGAATTTGAAGATGGCTGGGAGAGTAAAAACTGCAATGGTAGTAATGAGTTCTTCTGACCCATGATTGAAGATTGGATCACGTCATTGGGAATAGGAGTAAGAATGTTAAGAATGCTACTGCCTTAATAAATGAAACGATGTGGGGCCAGACAATCTCTGAAGAAAACAAAAGGATGATTTACAGTGCAACCTGGGGTGGACAGGCCAGCAGTAACATAAGAAAAAGTTCTGGTGGCCTTTTGATGTTTAAGGTAATCTTAAGGAGATTTGCTTCCAATAAAAAATAAAAAGATAGCTAAAATGGGTCCGTTTAAGAACTGATGAGCTGGTATTTTTGGTTACTATTTCTAACCCAGTCTGTCCTTGAATGCATTTGCCATCAGGGGGGCCCTTTTGAATAAGATTCTTCATCAATTACAGCTCTGTAGTGTTTCCTGCATAATCTTTTCTAGACTACAAATAGCAATTAAGAATTTTTCCTCTGTAAAAGCAATGTTCTTGCACAGGGTTAACCTGACTGGATGAAAAAAAGGAGAGATAAGTAAAGTGTTTATCAACACTTGCAATCCATTTTAAAACATCCTTCTTATTAAAAGGAGTGTTTACTTACATCTTTTGGAAGAAATGTGTTTATCTTAGTGAGAAGGCCACTTTGCATTGAATCTGGGCTGTAGAGATCAAAAACCAAGGACTTTCGCATACCACAAAGTCTGCATAAGTTACTCGAATAGGATAGACTAAATTGATTGTTCATTGTCCTTCATGAAATAAGTATAGGATGAAAATGAAATGATGATTTCCTCAGGAGCCTGGAAAATAAAGGACATTTCGATGAAATTATCGTCTGTGAAAAATAAAACAAACAAAGCACATCCAACATTTTCATTTCAATTTGCATGGGCGTACGAAGGGGGGGGGCAGTGTTCTCGGGTGCTCCCTGTGCAAGATCCGTACGCTCTGTCTGTACCCGGCACGTGTTGGTATAGGGAATGTCTGCGCGGCACGGATAAATCTGCACGCTTGGGATCATCACGCATAGGGGGAGGAGGGGGGGGTGTCCAGGAAGAAGTGCCCTTCTGTTGATAGGGAGGCCAGGCCCCCCCTGGCAGAATGACCTAGGTACACCTATGTCAATCTATAACACTGCTCTTAGAACGCTATATTACTCATATGATACCATATCTAAAAACCTCCAAACTATGGTTCCTGCCTTGAAAGGTGGTGGGTGAACGATGAAGTCAGTGTCTAGCTTGAGGCTAGTGGAAGTCCCATACTTGTACTTGAGGCTATTTTAAGGTGATTTCAAGTCATAGAGTACATAGAGCTGTAATGTAAATGGGAGAGCTGGTGCCATGTTCTGGTTGAAGAGTTCTGAGCCCGGTGTGCGCCCAGCTCGGGTCACTTTTCCGATACATGTTCCATCCAAAATGGTGGTATAGAATATGTAGTAATTCCTATCTTCTTTGTTTATATCGGATGATCGGGTCCCCATGTATCGAAGACATGAAATTATATATTGAAAAAGTGATCTGGCGTCACACAGGAGTCTTGAATTTCGGGACCTGGAAAGTGCTTAAAAGTGGCGCCAGCTCTCTTAATTACATTTCGACTCTATGTACTCTATGTTCAAGTTGAGAAGGTTTCTGGAATTCTGGGACTGTCTTAAATTTGGGAATTCTTTAGGTGCCAGGACAAATTCAAAGTTGCCCAAAAGAATGATGAGTAATAAGAATCTGACAGTTTCTTGAATGGGAAACTAAATAATTGGGCAAAAAGTAGTTCACCATACTCATAAGTCTGATTATGTTGGTCCAGAAGATGTGAGACATATACTTACTTGGCGACTGACACAATTTCTTTCGTTGTAAAATAAGTAGAGGTGGTGGCCAACTTAATTTTTCACCAGAATAATCGAAGTCTCTCTCCATGGAATACAGAATACAAACACCACAAACACTAACGAGACGATAGAACAGAATAGACTGAGAAGCCGAGGAACGTTCTTGTACGATTAAAGTTCCGTTGAAAGTTTGAAGCAATTGAAGAATTAAATTAACGAGATATTGTAAAAGTTAAAAGTTGTAAATGACAGAACAACAAAACTTTTGAACCAATCAGCCGAAGTTCCTGAGAAATTCGGACTTTGGAGGTTAGTTTGGTTCAAATTACGAATTTATTTCAATTATTCCTCCATTCGAATAAAAGGAATTTTAACGGCAAATTCTGAACCAGACATTTTGATTGGTCTAGACCGGTTCATTCCAGTTATTCCGAGTTGAACCAAAACTCGCGGGAATTTCAAATAATTCCGGATATCCGTTAAATCAGAGCGTTTCCGGTTAACAGAGTTGCCAGTTTTATTATACCGGAAATTGACACTTTTTCAACATTTCCCGCCATTTTTTCGCTCTTCTCAGCGGAAACGGAAACTGCGTGGTCAATCATCGCTAGAAATAGCGGAAATCTTCAGAATAAGCCCCATTCTTTTGAAATTCATTGCTGCGGCACGGCGTGGCGAAGCCGTTCTTCCCAAATGTTCCTTCTTACAGTCATATTAAATGACAATTTTATGAGATAGAGCTGTTATGGAGGCAGTGACGAGGTTTTTCCGAAGATAACCGTAAGTAATGTGGGTTTTCGTTTTTCTCTCAGAAAGCCTTTTTTTTTTTTTTTTTTTTTTTTTTTTTTTTTTTTTTTTCTTTCTTTCAAAATTTTACTTTTGATAATTGCAGGACCTTTTTATGTTTTCTTAATTGGATATTAAATGAATGTCAGAAAGAACTATGCAGAAATGCACCAAATAAAAAAGAACCATAAAGCACACAAATCCTATATCGTCACCTTCCCGGCAAAGTATCACAAGCGCCACTTTGCCAACTTTTCAAGAGACACAAAAAACTGAATTGCGACCGGAAAAGACGGATGTTTGGCTTGAAACTTGAAATATAGATCCAGCACACCTCCCTGCTTCGAATTTTAATAAAATTTCTTTAAAAAAACGGGTTTTTCTTTGAAAATTGGCGCTTGTGATATCGGCTTCTCGGGGCACTCTGAGAATCTATTGGCGCTTGTGATACGAAAGCCCATCAAATCTAACGGAGTTTTTTCCATATTTCTTCATTTTTAATCTAAAAAAAAATATTATTTTCGTATGTAAATGCATCTTATTAATTCAAAACTACCCATAACTCAACTTTAATAAAAATAGCGCTTGTGATACTTCGGCCGAAAAGTGACGAATCGCTCCAAGTCATTCCAAAAGTTGTTGATACTAATATCGAAAATCAATCTCAAAGATGAGCGATTATTCCCAACTTGGCGCTTGTGATACTTTTCTCTTACATGGCGCTTGTGATACGAAAGTTCGTCAACTTCAATGGAGTATTTTAAATATTTATTTATATTTAGTCTAAAAAAAATATTATATTCGAAATAACGAGATGTAATTACATGCGAAAATAATTTAGTTTCAAGTCATTCCGAAGACTGCCGTGACAAAAATTGTAAAACAATCAGAAAGGTAGGCGGTTGCCGAACTTGGCGCTTGTGATACTTTTCTCCCAAATGGCGCTTGTGATACGAAAGTACATCAACTTTAATCGACTTTTATTCATATTTCTACATATTTGTTGTAAAAAAAATGATTATTTTCGTATGTAAATGCATCTCGTTATTTCGGAACTATTCATAACTCAATTTCGGTAAAAATGGCGCTTGTGATACTTTGCCGGGAAGGTGACGATATGTACTTAGTTCCTTTTGACTTAATTTATTCGCATACTTCGTTCTTTTTGGTGTAAATATGTTCTTTTTTTTCAAATTTGCTGCAAAAATCCTTATTTTTTTAAATTGTTAAGCCTTATTAACCTCTTCTGAATCTAAAAAGAACCTAATTAAATCAGAGATCTGCTCGCCGTAGCGCATACATGGGCGTAACTATGAAATTTTCTTGGACGGCGGGGGGGGAGGGGGGCAGAATGGCACTTCATCAAGGGAGGAAGGGAAGCTGATGCGCGGAATGTCTACCCCCGCCCAAAAAATGTAGTCGGCCCCTTCCAAGAAATGCGACGGATTTTTCTGAGTGAGCGCATGAGACATCTCACAACAACTTTGATCAATTTTTTTGTAAGAATAGCTGACAAATTGTTTTTGACACGATTTAATTTTATAAATTTTTCTGGGGGGCCCCCTGGACCTCCGTCCATGGGGGATTTTGGAGGGAACAAAAAGACACCCCTCTAAGGAGCATCCGCGGGACTTTCTCACTTTCATAGGAGGGCTGAAAGGGGTCATCTCGCCCCTAAAAGGGATGAAGGGGCCTCCTCTGGAAAATATGGAAAAATTGAGTTGTCTTAGGAGCAGTTTTGAGCTATATCCACAGAAAAGTTAACCCAATTACAATCTCAAAGATGAGAGATATTTCACGCACTCACTTAACAATATCCCTCACATTTCTTGGGAGAGGCTAATAAGTAGCTTTCTATGGGACAAACCCCCCGCCCCCTCTCTCTGCACATGAGTGCATAGTGTTGCTTTGTGCTCGATGTATGCATGGATCATTCAATGGTTGGGTGCCTACATTATTAGTGTAAAAAATTGAGGAGAAAGTGTATAGGATTTTGAAAGTTTAGGTTTTTATTCAGAATTTTCAATTTTTTTTTTTACATTTTATACAATTATAAAAGAGTACCCATGATACGTTTGAAATTCATGAAAGACTCGTGAGGTATCAGCTTACAGATGATCGAAGCTGGGCGAGAGGAAATCGACCAATGTGCATTGGGCGAGGGCCGCAGGGAGATTCTTCTAGTGTTTCAGTAGGTAGTGAGAGGAACAAGTGGAACAATACTGTGATCCTCCAAGGCGTGAAACCGTGAGGCGATGGTGAATCGAGAACATTCTGCTGTAAAAAAAAAATTGAAATCTGTCAAAAACGTAAGACCATCAAGTTATAGGTACTTTTTCCCCTGAAATTTTTGGAATATTTGGAGGCAAATTTATCTTAAATTTCTCTCCATAAATTTACTCCAAAGGTTACTGCATAAAAAAAGCTGTGATCATGAGATTCATCAATAGGTTGCAACATTTTACATTTAGGTACATTTCGCTCGGAAAAATAGAGCTGAAAAACTTTTCTCTCTCCTTTTGTTCTGCATTTTTTAGAATTTCCTCATTTCGAAAGGATGTCTTTTGTAAGAAGTGTACCCATCCGAAGTAGTTAGGATAGTGCGATAAAAATATTGCGATTTAATGGAATCACATTGCATTTTTTTTTTTTTTTTTTACCATCAAATTACGATATTTTGTTACATACTCGTGATTTGATTCAAAGATGCGGATTTTAAACGGTCAGTAAAATGAGTTCCATGTCTCAGAAAGATAAGCAAAACGAAATGCAAAAAAATTTGCATCTTATTTCAATTCCATTGCAATGAATTCCAATGAGATGTACCCCTTCAATCAGTAGATAGGCAACATACACAACACGCCGATTCGTCGGCATTGGTTTTACCTTGTAATTGCAATTTATTGCTATCTCTCTTTCGACCGCACGAATGGCTATGACACTAAAAGAAAGTAACCTGAGAAATAGTTCCTTAAATGAAATAAGTGAAGAGCAATCCTATTCTCTGCAGAACTACCTGCGCAATTAATTTTGATGTAGATTACAGAAATGTCATACTAAGGGGGGAAAATCCAATTGAAAAATGTTGAGAGCTTTCAATTTTGAAAAAATACTGGGTTAAAGGCACAAGAAGAAACTGTTGCGGTCTCTCTTCCTAATTTTCAAATTCACCAAATCCGTGGCACCAAATTGAAAACATAGTGCACTTGGTCAGAGCGTTAGTGTAAAGAAAACACTTACCGCTTTCAATTCGGGGAGTGACAGTTCGATGTGAAGGAGCAGGGATCTTATAGGGAGATGATGTCGAAGGAAGTCCTTTCCTTTCCGTTGAGGGCGATGACGTCAAAGACAACGCGTTCCTTTCCGTTGAGGGCGACGATGTCGACAACGTTACGTTCCTTTCCGTTGAGGGCAACGATGTCAACGGTGTTGCGTTCTTTGCCGTTTAAGGCGACGATGTCCATGGCGTTGCGCTCTTTGCCGTTGAGGGCGACGATGTCAATGACGTTCTTCTCTTGTCCGTACATGGTGGAGTTTGGTTGGGGTTTGGAGTGGTGAAAGAATAAAGCTGGAAAGATGAAATACGGTGTGAGACAAATCTGAGAGATGTGAGGAAATATATTTAATTATATTGAATTCACTGAATTACACTTCAAAGACCGTGAAATGGACTGCGTTAAGCAGAAAGGAACCAAGCCTCATCAGCCATTGCCAAATTTAATCGGGCAATTTAATTTTGTACATGAAACGGTTGTGCGGATATATGTACAAATCGTCACCTTCCAGGCAAAGTATCACAAGCGCCATGCGACGTTTAAAAATTTCCGCCGCCATTTTATTTTTTTACAGAGAAATTGTTCAACGAAGCTGTCCGAGAATTTCACTGAATTTTCTTTGTGCTGCCGATAAAATTTAGTGAAATTTCCAAACAGTTTCAACCAACAATTTCTCAGTAAAGAAATAAAATGGCGGCGGAAATTTTTATACGTCGCATAGCGCTTGTGATACTTTGCCTGGAAGGTGACGAAATGTGAATTTTCTGCATAGTGCGAAGCATATTATTTAATATCTTCAAACGAATCCGCACAAAAGTTCTCTTGTAAAAAATCGAATTACTCGATTAACTTAGGCATTAGTTGTTGTGGCTTGGTTCCTTTCTGCTAAACGCGGTCCAAATGGAGTCATATACATTTGACGTTGCGTTGGGCTCGATTCTCTGATACAAATATTTCAACTCAGGTGTATTGCACAGTATCAACCGGGGTTGAAGGCGTTTTTTGACCTGATGCACTACACGCGAAGTTTTCGCTTTCTAATTAGACGTTCAATGAATAGCTCTGCTTAAAAACGTTTTGAAAAACTAGTAAAAATTATGTATTAGATAACTCTCTCTCTGCTTAATTTTTTAAGCCTTTATCTACATGTGCATAGTATAACTTACTCGAGAAATTCTGTAAAGAAAAAGCACTAATTTTTAAGAGATTTTCAGCCTTTTTTCTGAATTATTATTTAAGTTTTAAAAAACCACATGAGATCTTTAAGAGTTTTAGAATACTCGTTTCACTTAAATGTACTTTTTGTAAATTTTAATAGAAAAATACACTTAAGGGAGTTCCCTAGAACATAGCCAACAGTGTTTTAAGAGTTGTCATTTGAGACGTGCTAGTTTTTTTTTTCTTTTTTAATGTTTGGGGTCATGAGCGTATGAATGCTAATCAAAAATAGAATAAATTTATTTTCGAAAATTTCAAATGTTGTACTTAAAAAACCTCACAAAAGAATGTTAACCAACATGCAGGCTTTTAGAATTTAACGGGGAAAAAAACTTGTGAATGAAGAGGTAAAACAAAGTGAGAGGATGAGTTAGATTTTTTAAGCTTAAATTATGGCAAAAATTAGAGGAATGAAATTAATTTTTTAACAAGAGAAAGAGTCTCAGAATGTTTCGACAACACTGACGTCCATCTAGTAACCGAGGAGTTTGACTGATTTGATGTATAGAAACGAAACGAAAGTTTAAAATAGTGTAGAAAACTCACCGATGCAAAATGCGAAGTCGACTGTTAACAGAGAACTATGAATAAAATGGAGGCGAATAATCCTTTTATACTCTTCAATGAATCGTGAGCAAGCACCTGTTCTTTCAATCGTCCGACTTTAAGGGGAAATATTTTGGACTTGGGTCGTGAGTGGGCCGACCCTACATCGACGCATCACGCCACACAGCACCGGTAAGCAATGTAAACACTGATTATAATTGATTCTAATTCGAATCTTATCGCCAATTAAAGATTACTTTTTATCACTATGTATTACCTACTCGGTGATTTTAATTACCCAACCTCTCACCCTTTCACTTGGCAATACAATCGGAGCTTCTGTGAGGGTTCTCGATCATATACCTGACAGTCCGTAATTGTCTGGCGTACCGCGCGTATAGAGTAAAAAATTATTTGAGACCCTATTCCTAATTTATTTCGAAATATGAAACATTAATTCGAAATTCAAATTGAGCGTTGTCTGCTAAGGAAAAGCATAGTGCCTGTCAAGAAGAATAGCCTTATAGAAAAAATATGTTTTCATATTGGCTCATTTACACGACGTTTTATGGTGGAATACTTTTCTTTATCCGAACTCTCAGAATATTATTTTAAAATAAAACTACTTAGATAAATAGAAACTATTCGACATAAGAACATATATGACCCTTGCACGAAAAAATAATAAATATCTAAAAAATAAAATTACTATAAATTAATAATTCTGTCTCATTTTTAACCACTAATAGTGCACAGTGACTCCAGTTAGTGTTTAAGTGACGCGACTTCCACACGTTAAAAAAAATGGATTGCTAAGTTAACAATTGAATTGTTAAAAATATGTCTGACATGTTTCAGATGTACATTTAAGATATGTGGGTGCTTTTTTATATGTACATTTTATAATAGTGGAAAGCTAATTTAACCACGCGGGCGACAAATTAGCATTTTGTTATTGTAAAATCTACATTGATACACGTCGGACACTTTTTTAATTACAAAATTGTTAAATTAGCAATATCATTTTTTACCGTGCAAGGCAGTGTCCAAATGCAATTACCTATTTCTACCTAGTGAGCATCTGCGTCGTATAAGTAAAAAATGAAGGTATTGAAAGACAATTAACACGACTACGGAAATTATATCCAACAGTGTATTTAAAAAATTTACCGGCAATAACAAGAAACACTTGCGACACAGGGACATGATTTAAATTAAGTACAACCTCCGGATGTGTATGTTGCTTGTGTAAAAGTCAATAAGATTTATTCCATGGAGTAAAATTATACGTATGATCCAATCTCATTCGTGGCTCTCTTACTTCTTGGAACATACTTTGCCAGAAAAAGTGAAGGAAGAAATCATACATTTTATACATGCATTTATATTTTCTTCGGTTCATTTGAATCGAATTTATTAAATTCAAAAGCAGTATTTCATGTAATTTTTAAATTTTAACAGTTATTCACGCAAAATCCCTCAGGATTAGGATAGAAATTTCCCTTAGAATTTGGAGGGTGGCGTAGATCATCTTCTACCACCCTTTTGTTTAAATTCATCATTTATTAGAAAGTACATGAGGGTCTAATGATGAAACATTCCACACATTCGTTATTTTTCCGTCGAAAGTACATGCGAATTATTTTACTCTGAATTAATAATGCGGAATGCATCAGAAATGACATCATCATACAGGAGAGCCTTTGCATCAGTTGCAACCAGAAAGTCAAGGTGATTAAACTTCTTGTGAGGCACCATTTTCTTCTTCACAACGTTAGGCAGTATCTTGCTCAGCCGTTCTATACTCTGAAACATGGAAAATAAAGTAAGTTCTCTTAAAGTAAGTTTTAGTAGAGGATGATTGGAGTAAGTATAATGTTAAACTTTAAAGCCCGCTTCCCGCGCCGCCGCGTCAAGTGCGCCAAGAGGGCCCGCGGGTGAGGCGGTGAGCGCATGGAGTGTCAAAACGCCTTCACATCCATGCGTATGCAATACGGACATCCGATGAGCTCGAATAGTTACATGCAGGCGTTCTCATGAAATTCGTTTCATGTTCGTCGCATACAATGCTAACTGAAGGCTCTCTGCTCGTTCCTCTTACATCTTAACTTAATTCTAGAGTTGCCTATTGTGCCGATGAATTGAAGTGCCACTAGTTTTTAATATCAACATTCTCAATTTTTAGGAAAATGTATTGATAGTTTAGAGGGATTCTTTCATTTAGGTATTCGCGCGTTCAAACAATCTTTCCGAACATATTCATTAAACACTTTTGCTCATTTCTCTTTTGAACAGAGCCTGTTTGCTATCACGTGAATAAAAAAATGTTAAATTCCAACCAGATTTTTAACATTGATAAAGTTTATATTCGCCCTATTTCTCCAGTTTCAAGCGAAATCATTCGTGCACACGACTCCTTACTTCCACCACCTCAAAGCGGAAATTTGTAGTTGACTTTTTGGGGTTTGCGCTTTTGGACATATGCTCTTTTGAAATTTTACCTAGAGGACACCACACTATGGAAGATCTGTGGGACTTCCTCTACTCCAAAGATGGGTTTGGGGGATTTTCGAGGCTCCAAGGAGGGTTTCAGGGAGCCTCCCTAGACAAATGTTGAAAAAGTCGTTTGAAGAGTCGTCTCATGCAAGATCATTTTTGAGCTGATCTGACTTAAAATGTATCGAACTACAATTGTACACATGAGAGATACGTCGTTCACTTATTTGGCAAAATTCCTCACATTTCTTGAGAGGAGCCATGTGAATTTGGGGAAAGAAAAGAAGAGACAAAAGTCACGTCAGTCTGGATGCATCAATCATCAGTTGGTCCAATAGTTAGCATGTAAATATCTGTTGAATGGTACAATGTTTAGATGTGACATTTGTCTCTTCTTTCCTTTCCCCAGTTCGAGCCTCCCTGTTTCTATCCATGATTCCATGGAGATAGTTCCTCACTTTTTTTTTGGAAAATTCCGATGTGTCCGGTTGGTCGGCTATCATCTTAGGGACTAACATTGTGATTACGTGTTCAGGAGGATCCCAAATTACGAGTAGCTAGTGCTTCGAAAGATGATATTCCCGTAAAACAAAATCTCGTCATCACAGCCGCCAGTAAACGGTTAAAATTAATACTGAAGTCTGAAGTAAACTGTCGGCGTTCCCTTAATTAGCTTACCTCAAAGTCAACGAAATAATCATTTGCACCATAGTAAATACAGCTCGGCACAGTGACTTTTGTTAGGTTATACTGAGGAGGCTCTATTGTACCGTAATACTTTTTATTTCGTGTTCGTCCGAAATCAAATTTGCGGAATTCTCTGCTCTCATATAACTGGACCATGTGCTCCATTGCCTTCAACGATGTTCCAGCACCGAAAGCGCTGGCAATCTGCTTGAATTTTAGCTGAAAAATTATAAAATTATCAATGATGTAATCCAGGTTTGAAAACGCCAAAATACAGTCTTGAAATTTAATTTTCGAAAAGGCTAGATTTGAGCAATGGCAATGAATCACGTCGAGTAAAATTGTTTTTTTTTTTTTTACCGGAGATATATACTTAATAATTAAATATAAAAAGGTAATACTTAATAAAATATGAGCGCGCACATTTTCCTCATAATGCGTGACTTTTTGGAAAAATGCCCTTAAAACAATTTAAAGTTTGATTTAAACTTTTGAGGTGAATGTTCTCTGAGGGTGAAAATGAAATCTGAATTATTCTCAAGTTTAAAGAACGATAAGAACATGGGGGATTCATCAGATTTGACTGCGCATTTATACATAGACTTAGCCCTTTTAAAACGGTCAGCAATATTATAATGAACATTTCTTTAGTTTTTACCTCACGATTTGCTTGACGTCAAACAAACGAACCTTACCATATCAAGTTGATCGATATCATCGCCGAAAAAATCCATGAATAAGAGAAACATTATTTTGAAACTTGGAGCATCGATACGTGTCAACCTCTGCACAGCCTTCAAATGAATGGGAGTTCTCTTAAATACTTCAAACCTCTCGTGCTGTTTATGTCCTTTCTGTAAAATCATATTCAATATATCACTGAGTGAGAGCAAAAATATACGACGAACATTTAAGCCTTTGAAAAAGATTTTGAAGCAAAAATATGGGACTTTTTTCTGGTGCTGATTTGTCTTTTGACCCTATTCCTCCCCTCTTCTTCAATCTGAATCTGAGAATTTGAAGAAATTGGTTCAAGAACAAAGGACAAGGAGTTAAAATGTTATTAATGAATATGTTCATAAAACTTATGGTCTTTAGTTCCATATAAGGTGAAAAATCAGCGCTGATAACAATCAGCTGTTCGAATCGGTGTTAACCAGTCCATAGATTGACGCCCAATCTACTCTCAATCTCAAGCTCCTGAAGTTACGAGCTATCCACAAATAATATGTCCTAAGCTGAAATATCTTCTCAAGACTGAAGTTGAAAATGGAAAATTATTCATAATTATTTCACCGGATCATTAAGAATACCGTCACGCACAGGGTGATGCGCCTGGATATTTTGAAATCTCAAACCGTCGTCAGTTTGCAACGGGGGTGAGTGAATGGATAATAATTGTAATCTTCCGTCGCATTTCTACGGCGCAATGATACAACTATTTGAACTCTCCGGAATGCGTGAGGTATCACACCGCATTTGAAGGCGTTTTCAAAACAGCCAAGTTCCGATACCCGGATTATCGTTTTGCATAGTTCCTTATATTATGTTTTATTCCGTAACACTTGTTTATTTTTAATCATCGTATATAAAACACCCATTTCGACGGTGAAAGTCGGCAATCACTTAACTCGTTTTGCGACGTCGCAGACTTCCTGTCATACTTTATTTTTTAAACGGAAAACTACTCAACGGTAATTCTTTAAAACTTCCGTGATTTTTCTTCTATGTGCGAGGAAAATTCTGCAAAAACTTCAGGGAATCATGTCCATTTGTTCTCCTTTAAAAAAATAACATAGTTGCGGAGATTTTCAGACACCGCAAACGAGTTATGTGATTGCCGACTTGCACCGTCGATTTGCTAAATACAATTCTAGCTGGAGCGCACTTCAGCTATGCTAAGCATTCACGAGTGCAAAAATATCAAAAGAAAATCGAAAAGGCTAGCGTGCATGAAGGCTATTTTAATTATTTTTAATCTTTCCTCAGAATTTTTTTCACATTAAGATAAGCATGTACCTTCATCCCTGAGTTAACTTCCGGAGCTCATTGCAAAACCACCTCATACTTGAGTACATGGTCATTAAAAATGGAATGAAAATGAAATACTCACGATTGCATGTTTTGCAAAATTGAGTAAATTATTCCGTATCTTTTTTTCTCGAGGCCCGTACACAAATGGTGCCAACATGATGGCACTGGTGATGTAGTTGTTGTAATAAGGGCGTGTTGAACACATCAGGTAGAAAGCTCCGCCTCCAATTGAGTAGCCGACGTAAGTAATTTGTTGCTTCTTCGTTTCGTGCCTTATGTATTCAATCATTGCGGGCAGATCGTAGTAGCCCCATTCGTGAGGCCTAGAAAATCAATAGTATGCGATTTACAATGACGATCTCAGGCAATGGAAGGAAATACAAAAGAGTTGATTTTTAAGAGAGACATTGCCAGGTGATTACTCATCACAATCTGACGTATTTATGCTTAAATGGACCATGTGAAAATTTATTATGTCTAAAAGGACTATGCGCATTGGGTTTGCGTGATATATCGACGGTAAAATTACCAGTCCACAGATCTCTAGAAATCTCCGCTCCCATTTTATTTTCTTGAAGAAAAAAAATCAACATCACTCCTTTAATTTTTCACAGATTTATTTTTCATGACGGGAAGAAAAATTACGTAAGTTTTCAAGAATTGACGTCGTCTAGTTTTCTATTTAAATAATGAAATATGACAGGAAATCTGCAACGTCGCAAATCGAGATACGTTGTTTGGTAGTTTCACCGTAGATATAGTTCCTTTTGACTGTATCCATTTTCACGTAGGTAGATCCTTTTAATTTTCTTTTCCATGTACGTATTTGCTGATTATTATATATATATATATGAGTTTAAATTATATATATTGGAGCTTTTTAGGTATTTTTTTCGGAATGGGAGGAAGTGTAGTTCAATGTCAAATGAAAATTCCTGGATTTTAATGAGGTGAAAGAAGAAAATGCATGTCTCGATTGCTCACTTAAATACAAAATAGATTTTAAAGAGCTTTTTCTGAGAGAAACTGAAAATGAGGCAAATATCTATTAGTGAAAGATTGCTATAAAGAATAATCGTAAAATCTTTAGGTTTTCCGCTTTTCATTTAAATTCATAGAGTTTCAATTGAGATAAGTACATAAACCGTTCTTGAAGTATTTAAAATACACAAAACATCAACTTTTAGGTGTTTTTTTTTTCGTTTGTTCTCTTTGGTTTTCCTCTATCGGCCAAAAATCTAAAATGAACACATGAAAAATTCACCCAAAGTCCCAGAACAGGTCATCATTTGGAGAAAGTGTTTCATGTCTTCTTGAGTAACAGTTCCCACGGAAATCGCCCAACCAAACATCGAAGCCTGCATCTGCCATTAGGTAAGCTGCGGACATAAGCATTAAAAAATCAGATTTAAACGGACCTGAATAGTACGTTGAATATTCATTTATCAGGAGACAAATGAGGGTTTATTGTTCCACTCGACATAACCACAACAACTGGCAGTATTCAATTTAAATATTCAAATAGACAAAGATACCCATGTCCCGAAAATATCTCACATATGAATCACTAAATACAAAAAGGGCACATGTACAGAAAACCAAATTGTTCGGGAGACACAATAAACAGTTTTTTGTGTCTCTTGAACAATTTGGTTTTCTGGACATGTGCCCTTTTTGTATATAGTGATTCATATGTTATTATGACCACCCTACCCCCCCCAGTTTTGAGACTCTCTTCCCGAGAATGGCCTAAAATTTTGACCCCTTAAAAAGATAGTTACCTCCAGGATAGGAGCATCCCCAAAGTCTCATTTTTCTATCTATAACCGCTTAAAAATAAAAAGGAGTGGTGGAGGACTAATTGACATGTCCTGAGCCTTTACACGAGCGGAAACTCCCTAAAATAATCATATATCCACGCGTCTGAAGTTACAAAGGAAGATCCAAAATTCTCTTCTATTAAATTTTATGAGCCCAGATACATACGTAAGTCGTGGTCCCTTCCTTGTATGAGCCAGTTGTCTGAAGCAATCAAGAATCCGTGCATTATGAGCACGGGGGGCCTGGAGCTGTTTTTAGCGGCAGGATTGACGATTCGATGAAGCCCAAGAATGTATCCATCCTCAGTTTGGGCAGCATGCTCCTCAACCAAAAATCCTTCTTCTCGTATCAGCTGACTCTAAACAATTAGATGACCAGAATAATTTATTTCCCTCCTCAGTAGGTTTAAGTATACTTTTTACAGGCAATTAGCAATCATCGGTATTTTGTGAGCAACCAGTGAAAAAATATGAAATCATAAAATTCAGAACTCAAGGAGCAGTATGAGAGTGCTGATTATTTTGCCGTTTCTTTCAATAGACACTCTTCCTTCCATAAAAGCATAATAGTAGCAGGCACACTTAGTAGAGCTCGTAGAAAAACTCGTGAACCTAGTTGAGTTCGGATCGGATAGGCAACTAAACTAACACCACGACAAAGCGTGAAGTATCGTAAAAAATGAAGGCGCTCCAAATGGAGATCATGCTTTCGAAGGTCATTGTCATCAAATTTTCCTCATGTAGATTCGCATTATATCGAAACGACACGTAGGCCGCTTGCAAGTTACCGGCGATTGCTGTAATTGTCTAGGGCATAACAATTATTCCACTTGAAATGAGTTTCCACAAGAAGGAGGGATTCAAACTAATTTTAAGGCATTTGTCGATGAAGCACTCATAACATTAAAATGCTACTAAGATTGGGTAAAAATCCAGCAAATCCAAGCAAATTTCATCTAGCAAGTTGAAAGTTTAAATGGTTTTTACTTTCTGGGGGTTTCTCACTGTGTTAATTAAGTGAATCTATTGAGGTTTAGCTACTTCATTTTTCGGATATCATGATGTGCGCATTGTACGGCCAAAGTCCATTCCACTCGGTACTCATTCTACAGAAACTCAGTTTGCGACGTTTTAGAATTTTTGCCAAATTTCATTTTTTGAAAATATGATTGATGATTAATAGGTAAATGAGCAAAATTCCGCGTGGTTTTGTTATGCTGTGCCAGGAATATTTCTCTGATATTTCTCTTACAATAAAATCTATAGAAATACTTTTCCGGGAAAAATAATGTACCTGGGGACAGAAATTCTGAAATAACGCATTCGAAATACACATGACTTTCTAGCTTTATTATCGAATAACTGTTATCCAGCTCGGAATTTGGTCGATTAATTTCTCTTTGTTTGTACTTTTTTAAAAAAAAATTAAGAGGAAATTGTAGGGAATTGCTTAATGATTTAAGCCCACTTTTATTTTTTGGTGACACATGAAATTTACAATATCTGCTAATGTAAGGCAAGTAAAGTTGATGCGGCAAAGAGGCGTTAATAACTTGAGTTTATCTTGCTCAAGTTGACCGTTTCGACTCATCTTCCGATCTTTTCTCTTCCGCAAGTACAGTCAAGATTATCGCGCGTTCAATTAGAGCTGATGAGTGTGATGACCTCCTTATCAAGGTGGCAAAAATAGAAAATCTGTATAAGTACTTACTGCACTTTTAACACAGCGTGTGTTCTGTTTTGATACAAAGTCGTCTAATGTTTAATAACAATTCCTTGGCGTGGAAATTCATTATCTCTAAAAAATAAAAGTATGCCCCATCATTTTCTTAATTAAATTATACTGAAGTGCAGAGGTGTTTTTACTATTTTGTTAATGTTTGACACGCGAATCAGAGATGTTCTCGCCAGTTAAGTATGTGTGAAACACATTTAAGCAAGGGAAGGAGAAGTGGTCCTAGGTCGCTGTAGATGTTTGCATTAGTCATTTTGTGAAAACTATCTCTTTACGATTGGGTTTTGAACAAGCAAATCCTACAAAATCTGACACGCGCTCATTCATTGTTTGTACTTTTCTAAAATATCAGGAGGTACGCCTTCTGAGCGCTTTGCGGTTCAAACTCAAGAGGCGCTTCGTAACTCAGTCCCAAATATGCTTAAATTCAAAACCATCCATTATTTTGTCTAAATTTTACTTTAAATATTTGGAACACTTACTTAACAGATCGTCAATTACTGAATCGCATTTAGCAAAAAGGAACCAGCGTGATTCCAATTTTTCAAAATTGTGCAAATGCTTATTTTCCTTTAAAAATGCTAACTATATGTAAAGCAATAAAATGTACATAATTATTTCCCTTTAAAATTAACAATATTTGATGGGATGCAAACACTATTTGCTATTTTGGGAGATCTTTTAGATAATTAGGCAGAAGCAACATTTTAACAACACTATAAGCAGGTTTATTTTTGCTGAATACGATCCAACTAGTATGATTACTCATTGTACCTATTTAAAACATTTTAAATAGCTTGAAATTTTCGATTTACTTACTGTTGATAGGAGGTACGGTTCAAAGTTCGGCTCTGGTGTTGATTTCACGATTTTCCAGGCGGTGCCTGTCTCTGGATTTTTGAAACCCTTTGCTCCAACATGTCGGACAAATAAACATACAACTAAAAACTTCAGAACTATGATTAACTGAGATTGCCATTCCATGTCTTTAAATGTCACGTAAAAAGTATTTACTTAGCATATTTTTTTATTTATCACGATGGGCAAATTTTAAAACAACACTAAACTCCGATACTTGTTCAGTCGGAACTATTTTTTTTTTGAGGGGGGGGGGAGGGGGGCTCTCACAACAGCCCAAGATGTAAAAAATTAGGATCAATATGAGGAAGAAATTGCGATCCTTGACCTTCTTACAGGAACGAGCCGTCAGAGGAATATTGAAACACTGAAGGAACATCAAAACTTCTAAAGACAAACATAGAGTTGGAAAAGAGGATGAAAAGCGAATACTCCGCAGTCTCTCTCAAAAATTCTGCTCTGACTTGGCTCCAAGACGAGAGAAAAAGTCCACCAAATGAAAATAATAACAATAGACTTTCGAGAAGACGGGCTAGACTATGGTCGTTTCTTGTTTTGCCTATGATCCGAGCATCAACCGCTGATTCTTTTCACGGCTCAGTTTACGGAAACATTTCCAGCATCATCACTGGTGGCGCTATATTTTTAAGATTTCAGGCTAAAACCCTATCGTGGATCGATCATGTAATTTCAAAACGGTATAAACTCTGCCAGTACGGAGACAGGTTTAATTTTGGAAAGAAGAAAATCTAATGATTTTATGGTAGACTAAACGCACATAAAAAAAATTAAAATAGAAAATTTCATAATTTTAAGTGAACAAAATTTTACGATCAATTAATTTTTTGCCTGATGGGAGGATAAGAACGTCTGTCTCTAAATGCACTGAGGTGAATGCAACGTTTTAGGGAGAAAGATGGATCCAGATTTGCCATACTCGGATCGGGCAAAGTTCCGGTTTTGAATTTCAGGAGCTTCAGTTAAGTCCAAGTCTGTCTTAAGTTGTCTGATGTAAGTCTACGTTGTACAAGCGACTGAACAAACTGCATGACAAAGCGTTCAGTATCACGAAAAAATGAAGGCGTTATAAGCCGAGATAATTTTTTAAAGTTCATTGCCGACAAAATCTACGTTATGCCGCTGCGCATTTTTGCAATTTGTCAAAGGAACACGTAAGCCGCATATGGAAATTATCAATGACTGCTGATTATCTGCGGTATATGTAAGTATAATGTGGTATAATGCGGTATATGTAAGTATAATACCTTCCAGGTTTGTGGGTCGACAGGTTTTCTTTAAAACGACGGCATATACAGTTGATTCCAATATCAACTGACTCAGTAGATTAAATACATCGTGTGCTTTTGTAGAAAGGGAATCATCAATAAACTGAGAAAATTAAGGACATATTCCTGTATTTTGAGATTGAAGCTTAAATCATACACTTTTCACTAATTCTTAAATTCTTCGCTTAAGTTCACTTCAAATCGTCGATTTCGCTCAGGAAGAAAAAATAAAAATACAACAAACCTGTAATATTGAAAGAGAAAGATGAGACGCTGGGTAAGATTTTTCTGAGGTTCAACTACCTTAATTATTTAATACCCTCAAAATTAATACCTTCTTCGTTAAATAATCCTCCTTACGTCAAATAGGCAACATTGTGACCGAACAGAGTAGTGGAGGAATCTCGTTGACCAAAGCAGCAGCTCGATTGTTGAATCGTCTATCGAACAATCTAGATAGATAGATCCATATCCTAGCAATGATTTCTATCGACGAAAGTAACTCGATAACGATGCAACAATCGACGAGGAGGAGGTGCAAAAGTGAAAGCCGATCGGGGCGTAATTTTGCAATCCTTCCGAATGTAGAGCAATGAGAGGGTGAGAAAGTCTTAATCCAGCATTCGTCCGTGGTTTACGATGCGGTGCGTGCTAATTTGTGTCTAGTGGTTGACAGGAATCCAAATTCGTGATGAGTCGATTCACGTAAGTTATTTTTATGGGCCTGCTTCAAAATACCTATGTGCTTATTTAACTGTAAGTCCAACTCAAAAAGCTTTCAGATACAAACGTGTTCTACTAATGATATGAGGTATTGGAGACTGAGTGATGTAAGTGAGGAAGTGCATTTGAAACGAGCCCAGTGATTTTTTTCGGACAGCATTCAGCTCAAAAAATGTATACATATTTGTGGGTTCTACTAGTAACATGAAATGAATAATGTGCTTTAAGATCTGCGCATAGGAGCCTTCGATAATTTTCATGAAAAGCGCTTAAAAGGTGCAGAGGTGCTATTAATGTCGTGAAAAATTTTCTTATTTTCTCTCCTGGCAGAAATTAAATCCGCACATCGACCGTGGAACTGCTAAGATACATTTCTCGGTTGCGGCGTTCAAAAATCTCCGCTCCTATTTCATTTTTTGAAAAGCCAATATCATAGCTTGAAATTTTCACTGAACACTGAACATTGTTCACATTGAGAAAAAATAGGGGGAGTTTTCAAGAAATGACGTATTGTATATCGACGGTGAAACTACCAAACCACGTATCTCGGTTTGCGACGTCGCAGACTTCCTGTCATACTTTATTTTTTAAATGAAAAACTACTTAACATCCAGTCTTAAAAATTTCTGTGATTTTTCCTCTTTGTGCGGAGAAAATTCCGTGAAAATTTCAAGGAATGATATTGACTTGGTCTACTTCAAAAAAATAAAATGTGAGCGTAGATTTTTAAACACCGCAAACGAGATACGTGGTTTGGTAGTTTCACCATCGATATGTAGTTTTCCATGCAAAAATTAAGTGTCTGCAGTCTGCAAAGCCGCAATCCGAGATACGCGTTTCTGCAGTTTTACCATCGATTTGTTAGAGGACCAGTGAAGTCGGATACGTCCTAAGCTTTCAACAAAATCCATTTGAAACTCTGGAGGTAAGACTTAGGGTCTTATTTTTGGGGGTCCGTCAAGGTCTTAAGCGCTTCGTTTGTTTGAAATCCCTCCATTCGCGATTTCCAAAAAGCCGTAACTTGGTCGACTCAGGATCTTTTTCAAAATCAACTACATGCAAATAAATTGCGACTTTTCCCATTTTTGGACGTAAGATTCCATTACACGCTTATAGGTGTAAATTAACAAAAAACAGTCCCGTCCATTTAACCGGTTGATACTCTCTTTACCGGTCATCATTGCATATTATCGATTCTTATCATTTAATTAAGATACTGTATTTAGTTTCCAGTTTCTTAATTTACTTTAACTTGGCAGACGACGTGGATAGTTGCTACATGATTCATAAAATAAAAAAGAACAAGAGGGAATCCACGTGAGTGCATGCAAGTCCTAGTCGATCTTTAATATCCTCTGTAAAAAATGTGATCAACGCGACACGTTTAATTGTTTCTTTATGTTTTAACCCATGTTACCTATACTATAAATTTTGACTAATTTTAGTAGTTAACAAGGCATTTTTTCCGAAGATGGAGAGAAGGAATAGATAGGTTTTACGCACTTTTTTGTGCTCTCTTTGCACTCTTTCTATAAGATTTTGGAACATCGCAGAGACACATTTCTCGACTTCAGCAATGGAGATCTTCATGCTTCGTCCATGGTCTCAATTCGATTACATCCTCGTAATTCTTGGTCTTCACAATACCCTGGGGACTAAAATAAAGGTCCATTTCATGTTTCTGCGCATGTTTTTTCAAAAAAAGGAATCCTCAGCTCCCATCAAAGAGACGCTTATGGCCCAAGGCTCGATATTTACACGCAAAATCGAATCTGAGGAGGCTCCTTCGTTTTTATGCAAACTTTAGTATTTCATTAATTTGATTTTCCAAAATATCAATGAATCATTTTTGTTCGTATCTGATCAAATATAATTTGAAACGCTTGTGAATTTAGACCTGAAGTTGGACACTAGATTCCTCCATTGGTATTGTTCAGATACATTCTTTTACCAGTGTTAGAATACCGTCTATAATTTTAGTGTGGTATCATATCTACGTGTATCAATTGCCACAGCCAGAGCGTGTGTATATTTCCTTTTGACGTCACAAATTTCCGCTTAAATTCTATTTTCGTAAAAGAGCACCACACGATATCTCCTCTCAAAGATCTCTAGGAACTTTCTTCGGCAAGTGCGTAGTACGCAGCAAAATTTTCGAGTTGAAATGTTGTTTTGATGTCTTGTAAAAAAATTAAGTGACAAAATGAATGAAATGTCAAATCGTCGCATTCCTGTCATAAGGCCGTAACTACATTTCACGATGAATTCTGTCGTTCATATAACTCAATGCTTACCCGAACTCACCTCTGAGTTTAGTTACGCCCTTTTGTAAGACAAGCGACGAAATGAAAATTTTCAACGTTTTAAAGTATGTACGCCCGACTCGTCCTCTAACCCCATCAGAATAAAGATTCTACGTAATGATATTTCTACCACTAAAAATTATACCCTCTTAAGGAAACATGCTATAACGCCATTCTGAATTTCAGTTTTCGCAAATTTTGAATAAAATTATACGGTGCGTTTTTGCTGGAAACGACGGAATCTTCCATCTCTCGCAACCATTGGCTTCCATCTCCCGTTTACCTAAAATTACCACTCGAAGATGAGGCTGTAATCTATTTTTTAATATTTTAGGAGTCACAAATTTCGATGAGGCAAGAATCCATTTCTCCCCAACGAAAATATCTTAAAAAGGGTACAGGAAATAAAAATCAACACCCCGCGGGCTCAGCAGCTCTGCGCCCCAAGCGGCGCAGATTTTTTTTTTTTTTTCTCACGCTGATACAGCCAGATCTAAATATTGCAATCCCTCCTCCGCTCAAAAAATCCTTGTTTTTTTCACTCAATGTCCGCGAAGATGTTTGCCGGTTGAGTTCAAGGGCACCCGGTAGTGCGAATTCTTCAGAAAACTACCGATGGACAATCCTTGAACGGGTATTCCCAACGATGAGCATCAGTTTTTAATTTACCCCGACGTACTGCATTAGCCTTGATAACTTAACAGTTATGTAAGGAGCAATGCGCATGGCGACGGTAATCGAGCGTCATCTGGAGGAACTCATTTCTAGAAACCGTATTTCGAGTCTACTTTCACAAGAGTCCGCGGAGACGCAGGTGTGGAGCCTAAGGGTGTCTTGATGTGTTCGACCAGCAGCAAAGGGTGCCATGAGTACACCTCCGAAAGGAAGGCTCAATGTCATTTAAAGAAATAACGAGAGATGTGATTTGAATTATCGGCCGCATGGCATCTCGTAAATGGGTTGAATTTTGCAATTAGGAACTAAAATGTCTGGCTCATCTGTGAAAAGACTTATGTGCACAGGGGAACAGATGCTACATACTTGTTCCTTAACTGAGCCAGGAACGGTAGTTCCTAATTGTGAAATATAAATTGTAAATTAAGACAATGGGACGAGTGCTTTCCGATTGGTTAAGGGTTCCTGTCAGTTCTCAGGAGGCTGGTG